GTTAACTTACAGACAGAGACAGAAGGTCTTCATAAATTATACATTCCGATAATAAACAACAGTGTGACTTTGTATTGCAAAGATTTATCGTAATACAGTTGAATCCGTTGAGAGAACATTAGACGCTTTTCTTTTCTTTATTTTATACATTGGACGTTACACACTTATAATAGTAATATTAATTTTTTTATCTCTTTTAACATCAAAATTTGACGTTTTTTAAAAATATTAACATGGATTTTCTCAATTGTCGGACTCTGAGGTGAGTTTTTAGAGAGACGTATTATACTTGTTTTAAAAAAAAATTTTTTTTTTAGTTTTGATAATTTATAACATTTTTATATTTCTCTACGATCTCTCTAGAACAACGAGAAATTTTCGCAAGTCAACCAATCACTTGATGAGCAATTTTCCGTTTCTCTGTTTTAACACTCATTATGTAACGAAACAGTCGCTTTCTTAATTTTTGAATAATGTTTTTTTATTGCGCCGGAAAAAATTTTTTGTACATCTGAAGAGGGCCTAAATATAAGATCGAAACATGTAATTTGTAGCGTTTTAACTTTTTTACTTTTTATGATTCTTGTTTATTATATCTATCTTTAATTATACTTATTTATGATTGAAGAAGACTTTTATAAAATTGAAACTAGATTCGCTTGATTTTAATGCATATTAAACATTAAATTCTATTATTATATGTAAAACATTTCAATTTATTCGTATTTGGCCGATTTTTATTTTAATACAATAATTGATTTGGTTCGTTTCAATAACGAACAATGGAGATTTTTTTCTGACTCTTATTAGCCTTTTATATCGTTGGCTAACTGATTAGTTTTCTCTGCTGAACATAGCTATTCTTTAATGTGATTAGTCTTGCCCTTAATTCCTCACTGAATCTAAATGTATAAACCAATCATATTCAAGACTTTTAAAACAATTGCAAAGCTGCTTTTTTTCGCTGAATGTAGCCTTCCTCTTTTTTTTCAAATTTTTCGAAAGATCGAGAATCGGTCTTCAAATTTTACGTGACCCAATCTTATAATGAACACATTAAACCATTGTGTTTGAAGAAATATGTAATCAATTATCAAACAAATAAGTGTAAGTTCTTAGAAGGTCCGACAAATATAAATACTTTAAAGCCTAATTAAACAAAAAATTTCAAACATATTAAAGTCCATTTTTACAATGAGCCTGAATATTCCAGCCAGACTTTGAGATTTTATAGGAAATTTAATTCTGAACAAAAAGTTTCATATAAATATATGTCGAAAAAGAATGTTCGAATTTAAGTATTGTATTTTAGTTGAACGCATTTACACAGATAAATCGCTTTGCTCATTCTACGTACTCTGCGTATTCAGCAATCTTCATGGAATTTTGCGACCATTACTTACAAGTAAACCCACTTCGTCATAAGTGTCACACTCCGATTTTCAAAAGTAAAATTACGAAAAATATTTCACCCGTCTTTCCATTTGGCTCGTAAATAATTTTAAGGGCAGTTATTATTCTTTCAATTTTCTATCGTTTTAGTTTATTTGAATAAAATGGTTTAAAGTTTTAATAATTTTAACAAGATGACTGCGGGAAATTTTTATAATACATATTGACTTCATATTCTAAATGTAAATATACTTTTTAATCGACAATTATACATGTATTAATTTTGTAATATCTACGATTGAAGAAGATTTTTTTGTAAAATTAAAACTAGTTTCGCTTGATTTTAATGCATATTAAATATTAAATTCTATTGTTATATGTAAAATATTTCAATTCATTCGTCTTTAGATTTTAATATACAATAATTGATTTTGTGTTTCAATAACGAGCAGGTTATCATTATTTATCATTATTTATCTTTTTAACAATTTTGTTCAAATAAATTAAATTTTCCATTTTAATGTACACATCCTTTCAGTATCTATGACGCATGCATTGTATAGTATTAGACAAAAATGAAATTTTTATCTCAGGAATGTTATCAAACTTACTATCTAAGGGATTTCGAAGTTACTAAGAGAACTTTCGAATCTGATACGTGAACTTTCGTGAAGCTTCTTGAAAATATCGAAACTTTATCCTTACGTACAAGTTTCGCAAGTGAAATCGAGGAAGAACAGTTATCCACGAGGTACGAATACCGGAAGAATTTTTGTGTGGGGATTCGCGATTTTTCTGTGATTCAACAAGCGCGGATAATCTCTACGATTATTGGTTTCTTATAGAGAGCGAGGGAAGATACACCGCGTGCAGTAAAAAGCAAGCGCGAGTCATCGTCTCTGACCACATATCGTTGCCGGTGCCGGAAATATACGATGTGGGGAGAGTACCATAAAAACGGAAACAGCCTGGTTTGGAGGACAGCCGACCATCACTCTCGTCGCACCACGTCGCTCTTCATATGACAGTAGATAACGTTTCTCTAAAATGCGCTACTACCGTCTCGTAGCTCTTCGCTTTATGAGCGGAAACCCGACCATTTAATTTCCCATGAGAAATTGCGCGAATTCCCTCGGCTCCGCGCACTTTCTCTGCCGTGTACACGACGTCGTCCATTCATTCATAACGCGTTCCTCAAACTGGGAAGAACGTGGCGGCAGTGGCGGCGGCAACGTCGTGCCGCGAAGTGCCCATTTCCGAAATGGTCACGTACTGGCTGTATGTCACATGAATACCTATCTTTAAAACCGCACGCTCTCGATTCTCTCGGTCTTGGCTACGATCTCTCGTGTATTATGCCGGCTCGTCCTCCTCTAGCGTCTATTATCTTTGGCGTGCCGCTCGTTCATCTTTTTCGTGACTATGATCGATGGCGAATGCATCCCGCTTCCGCAGCGTTTATATCTGACTGAACGAAAATTACATTCGTTACATGGTTTGATACCGCAAACCACGAACTCCCGAGGTACCTCGTTGTCATGATTTGAGGTATTATCACAGTTTAGCGCCTTCTGACCTAAGGGAACCTTAGGAATGAGATACGTTGGAACGATCCCAAAAATTGATTATACAAATGAGTTGAAATGAAATAAAACAACTTCTAATATCAGAGTTGCCACAAAATTGAAAATTAGGATAATTAGAAAAATGTCAGAAAAATGAAAGCGAAAAGTCAGAGAATTTTACAAAATTTTCTGGAAAATTAAAATTTTTTCTCTTTTTTAAAAAAAATTTCATACCAAAGCAGTTTTGGAATACTATCAACTTAACAATTAAATGCAAGCATCATTAATAGTAATTTACATTGTTATATTAAATTATTCTCAATAAAATATTTAACGATTTCTAAATCAAGATAGAAATACACAAAATTTTAAAAAATTATTAAAAGCATCAAGAAAGATCATGAAATTTTGTTTGGAAATCAAGAAAAAGTTATGAAATTATATAGGAGAATTTTGCAATCCTGAATATATTTCAAGAAGGACAATATAAACATGAATCTCACTCTTCTCTATTACATATTTTATTTACTTCGATAGTTTGAATTTAAAAACTCCATAAAGTTCTTTAATTTCAGGAATCGTTTATAACCGTATAATAATTCGTCGAACATTCAGATTTTTTTTTTATAAAAAAGATCTGATATAAAGTTACACACACAAGTGTTTGTCATGCTGGAGTTTAATTAAGTTCATGTTTATTGCGTTTGATGCATTAATAGATTTATCAGCAGTGGAAGAGTCGTCGCGGAAAATGTCATGGTTTTCATCACGTTTAATTAGATCTTTATTTTTCACACGGAGATACGCGTAATGATCGAACTCTCGCGAGACTTCTCACGCGAGTGATTTTCCAGAATACCGGTTATAACGATGATAAAAACGCAGAGTTGTCTGATGTAGATAGGTAGGCGAAACGCGATTCACGTTGACGGGATTGTAGAGAGGAGAACCGCGGTGTGATTGCACCTTATTAGGGATGAGCTTGACGAGTCCGAATGATGGGGAAGCGACGATTGTCTGGCTGACGGAGGAGCATCATCCTCTACTTTGCGATCCATCCGAACGGGATCACGATACGAGGCACCAACCAATTAGGGGCATCGCGATTCTCAAACTCGTTTTAACGAACCATACTTACTCGTTCCCGTCCTCTGTATTCATGATGGACTCAGACTAAAATTTTGTAATAAAGACGAGCCCTCGCAAATTCTTTCGTGACGTTTATACTCCGATATATCTCAATACGATAGTCTTGTATTCCCAACGTGACTTCCAACAATGACTCATTTTTTTCACTCTAAGATTAACGAAGAACTAAAAATTGCGAAAGTTCTCCATTCACTACTCTTGTATGTTAATTTTATATTACACTGTTTAACTATTAAAATATATTAAGGAGACTTTCAAAATGCATGTTCAAATTTTTTTTTTTTTTTAGTATGTATTTTTAATATTTTTTTAGTTAGAGATGGCGTAGTATTCAGTATTAAAAGACTCATATTATAAGCATTTTTTCATCGTTATATGCTGAAAAAACATAGACATTTCGAAGTGCGTTATGTTTTTTAACTAGAGACAAACAAAATGCATTTGTTTAACATTTTTAGCAATTGTTTAGCAATTTTGTTAATATTTTATTCTACTAAGTGACATATTATTATTTTCTGTAAAGTACATAATTTTCTTGTGTGCATAATTTCTTTCTTTCTTGTTTTTTGAAAATTACAAATTTTAGACAAAACGCATTTTGAAAATCTGCTATGATAATAATAGACATATAATTTTACACTTTATATTCAGAATGAAAGACTTTGTATTTTTATTAAGTTTTCAGATTTTTATTAAGTTTTCGCGTCCAACGCTCCAATAAATCTTCTCTTGTACGTGTAATAAATTTCGAACTGCAATAGAAAGAATAGAAAGAATCAATCAAAGTTTAAATGCAGTTGTGGTCGCGTAAATAGATTTAACAATATAACAAATATAACAAATTCTCAATACATAGAGGACATGCCTTTCTAATTTTTCTTAAATCCCGCATGCGTGTTATTTTCAGTTGTCATTCGAACGAACGTCTATTCCTGCGCGATTTTGTCTCCTGTTCTGCTGGCACCAGCGGTGGCAGACTCGCACGATGGTTGCAACCAGACAGCTTTGTGGATCCCTCTCAATGCGAGGCACTATATTCACGAGAAGAAATGAGATGCGGATGGCCGGCCATCGTCACCGTGCTCACGAGAGATCAATACGGCGAAGTGGTGCACGTGCCCGGATTGAAGGTATTTCTTCTTCTCGGATATCTCGCGATGCGAAGCACGGCATCGGTGAGTTACGATATGTCGAGACGCAAATCATTTTGCAGATTGAAGTCAAAGCGGTGCCGACCGATAAAACGGATATCATGGATTCCGATCAGAGCAGAAAGATCCGTCGCGTCTCTCAAGCAGACCCTATGACATTTGGTGGTCATCCGCAACCATCCTTAGATGTTCCGTACGAAGTGACCATCAGCAACAAAATGTGCTTCTACGCCATCACCATCATGAAAGCCTATCAGAATTACTCGTTCGAGGAACTGAGATTCATGTCACCCGCTGTAAAGAGAGCGAGCGAAAGTATGCTGGTTAGGCCTAATGGTGATGGAAGTTATAGCGCTACGTGGACACCATCCACCGTCGGCTGGTATTCGTTGATGATTACAGTTGATGGTTACAACATGGAAGATGTACGTAAACATTTCTTCCAAAGATACTCACGATATTCAGAGCTAAGCTGAATTTAACTTTAATTTCTACTTTTGCAGTAAAATTAACTTTAAATTTAAATAGACTTTAAGTAAGCTAATTTAATTCCACTTTATTTAGAATTACAAAGTCGAGGTGAAGGAACCTCCGCAAGGCATGCAACCACCCACTCAGAACATTGTTAAAAAACCTCAGCTTCAACCAAGTAGACTCAGAAAATTCGTGGCGAAGAATAGTGCCGGTTTAAGGATACGAGCTCATCCATCGCTGCAAAGCGAACAAATTGGATTCGTCTCGGTTAATGGCACTATAGCTTTCGTTGATGAGGTAATTAATAAGCTTTAATTATTAGAGCTTTGATATTAAATTTATTTTATAAAAACTTGTTATAAAGAGGAACAAATAAAAATAATATACATTTTCTCTCATCAAATCAAAAATATTGAGAAAACAAAATTGGGAAAAATATTTCTTGTCTCACATCTCTCTTGTATTCTTATCTCACATAATTTTTTAATTTAAATTATTTTAATTTAAATTATTTTTCTACACATTTTAAGACGAATATAATATTTAAATGATAGTAAATTCTCCTTCCTTTGTCTGATTCAGATTCATAACGACGATGGCGTTTGGTTACGGTTAAACGCAGAGACAATCAAGGAATATTGTAATAGTAGTCATCTTGAGGCTTGGTGTTTGCAATATAATCAACATTTAGGAAAAACTCTGCTTCTCCCTGTAGAAGAACCAAAATCCATTTTAGATCAAGTTATTAAGGAGACTATTCTGCGAAAACGTCCTGAAAACGCTAGCGATGAGTACGTAAGAAATGTCTCTTATGTCATCTATTTTCGACTATTTCCTAATTTAATTCTTGCAGCAAGAGAAAGACGGTGACTTTTGACGCCGGAAGAAGTATGATAGTCGTGAAATGCGGAGCTTCCGGTCATAATATTAGAAGCAAACCGAACCTGAAAAGTGCGCCTGTTGGAATGTTAGCACTTGGAAATACGGTGACCGTGCAAGAATATGTAAGTTGATCTATTACTGTTAAATACCCGCATCTCTCCTTTTATACTTCATCTCTTACAGTGCGTAAATCACGAAGGAACTTGGGTACGCATTGATGACGATTCAGTGGCGAAATATTGCTTCGATAAGAATCGAAGTGTAGAAGCATGGTCGCTTGCGATTAATAAACAAACCAACGTAATTTATATGAAACTTGAGCAAGATTTAGAGAACGATCCGATCGAGAAAAAGCCGATGATACCGGACCCAGCTGTTTCTCCGAGCAATAAAGGTTTTGATTTTTCCGTGCCTTCTGTTAGTCATGAAGGCTTCAATTTTACTACACAAAACTATACCCCGGATACAGCGGAATTCATTGACAGTTGCAATACAAATCCATTTGTTTTTGGCTCATACAATCAACATGACTCGCCAGGTATATAATCGTAAAAATAAATCTAGATAACTTGTTGCATCCAAATATTTACTAAATATGTATGTATATCTTCTAGGGAGCGAACGTTTCACACCAGAAAAAGCTGATGGTACTCCAAAGTTCTCAAAACCTCATTCCAAGGAAAGAGTAGTTAAGGAACGAGAAAGAGAAGGTGGTGGAGGAAAATTTAGCGTTCTTCAAAAGTGGCTAAGAGGAGATGATAAATGCCATGGAGAGAAAAGAAGTTCACCGGGCAGGTATTTATATACGCATACGTAGTAATCTTTTGATAAATCTTTAATGTTTCAATAAAATACAACTTTTTCAACTTAAAGAATTCATTTATACAATTTTAAAATATTCCTTTTAATATTTCGCGCATGAATTTTTTTGATAAAAGTTAAGTCATAATGATTGCTTCTTTTTCATAAATTGCAAATTCTTAAATTCTTCCTTAATTTAAAATTAAATCTAATGTACAAATATCCATCTTAATCCGTATTATTTATGATTTTCAGAGATTTCTCTGAATTTGTGGGCGTATCTGTGAAGGAGTTAGTAAAAGCGATGGGAGAAAGCCGCGCGAATGGCAACGGAGCGACACCGCCGGAAACTCCGCGGCGAACCTCAAGAAGTTCTTCGCCAAAGAATCCCCAAGGTGGGTCACCAAGATTTCACAGCCCTTCTTCCAGTCCAGTCCCAATACCCGGTACGTATGGATTATTTGTTAATCTATTGAATACTGTGTGATCATCATTTCTCTATTGGACTGACTCTATCAAATGTTATTTCATAATTTATTTCTAACATTATACATCAGTGTGTGTATTTTTGTATAATTTGGCACAGTTGCTTTGAAAATGAAATTATTTCAGAAGCTGTGAGAACGGACGCTGATACTTGTAAGGCAATATTTTATGTATTTATGTTCCATTTTTCTTTATTGTGTACTAGAATAAAAGAAATAATATTTGTCATAGTAATTTTATTACGAAATATATGATAGATAATAGAAAAAAATTTAGACAATTATATTAACTATTAAATACTCTATTTGGATTAGTTATAATAAATTAGTAATGTTGATCTTAGCTGGGTCCAGTCGACAGCCAGCCGTTTCTGGCAATTGTCTCTTCCCTCCTGCTGCTAACGCACCAGGTACTCGTTCTCCTATCCTATTTGGAATTGTAAAGATATCGAATAGTGCACAAATTCTGTATTTTCGAAAATCTATTTTAACATTATCACTATTTACTTTACATATAGGATTGGCACGATAAAATTCACTTCGTATTGATCAGTAAATATTATGACATCGTATTATGCATGCGATAACATAATTGCAATTAGAATGACACGCGACATCATTTCGTTTTTTACATACGCATGATTAATTACATATTATATACGCACAAAGTAAACTTTTTACTACGCAGTTCAAGAATGTACAATAGTAAGGCTTCGCGACATTAAGACAACTCGACACAACAAAAATACAATTAATCGAAATTATTAGGTGGGAGAAGCGCGATAGGAGGGGGAGAAAGTATGAGTAGCAGCCCTGTACTCTGCGGCTCCCCCCGAAGTGTCGGCCTCTCCCCGTTAGGTAAGGTCACTAATATACACGCTAATTCACCCTATCTTAGTTTACATTACATCGAGATTTATCGCAAATAGTATTAGTAAGATTTCGTATTGCTATTTTTACACTTTAATACCAAGAGACACATATCCTTTGAAACTTTTGTCCAAAAACTTTTAATTTATACACGTTTCGCACGAAGTAATCTGCATGATTTGAACTCTTTCTGAATGAATTCTCTAAATGTTGTAAACATCTTGCTCTGTCACTATCCAGTAAGGTGAGAAATCGATATCCTTGTCATCTGAATATCCGAATGTATTTTCGGAATATATCCTTCCCATGCAACTTAATCTTTGATACATTATCATTCTTTTTTTGAAGTGTCAGGAGGGATGGTTGACAGTATAACATCGCAACGTCGTGGCTCAACGCAGAGCGACACTAGTGCCTTGGTTAGCAGCTTGACGAGAGATCCATCACAGTCACCGAGCGGTATTAGCACTACTGCCAATACGCGTGATCTATCACCGAGTCCAAGTTGCAGTTCTTTACACATGAGATCTGAAGGTAGCATAGCTAGTCCACCCGACACTCCCAAGAAGGAATGTGCTGTAAGTAATGTTGTGTAAAAATCTTCTTTCCTTATTTTCTTCAATGGCAAACACACACGAAAAGATTTTCATATATATTTTATATATATGGTATATATATACATATATATATATATATAT